GGAGGGACTCTATGAGTGCCACAAAATTCAATCTGTCCCATTCTGTGGCAGCTATGTGGTGTGGGTGCCACAGAAATCAAGGTGTTCTTATTCCCCTGATCAGAGCGATTGGTTCAGTAGTAGGAATAAACGAGGAATCCCGCAGCCCAGTTGACTGGTAGCTATCCTAAACTGAATCCGTAGAGATGTCCGCTGCTGGATCAATCCTGATCTGAAGCCTACCCTACCACTGTATATTTTCCCTTTATTCCCTTTATTGTTAAGCTGTTTTGAGCTTTTTTTTTTTTTTTTTTTTAATTTGCTACCAAATACATCCTGCAACAGGCGGTGGGGGTGAGTTCCTACAGAAACTCAGTGGAGCATTGAGGCCACCTCCGAAGCCAGACATGACAGTATCCATGTGGTAGCAAGCCAGAGAATGACTCTGCATTGTCAGGGAGGATCAAGCTGTATTTTAAAAAGCAATGGAAGGCCCAGGAAATGCAGCTTTTGGATAGCAAAGGCCCATAATGCCCCAAATGGCCCCCATCAGCAGGGAGTGTGTGTTTTGGAGGGAGGAGGTGTCTGGCTTGGGGAATGGGTCCAGGCCTCCCAGTTCACCAGATCTCCAGGCCACGTTGTGGCAGAAGGCCATCCCTGTCGCTGCGCCTGGCTGGCCTGGGCCCACAGCCCGCCTCGCCGGGGAGAGGAGGCCCTGCCACGATGCAGCCCCCGTCCAATTCTCTCAGTGAGAGCGCTGCCAGCTTCCTCACTCGAACAGCCCAGCTGGAGAACTGCCCACAAGTTAAAAAATATTTCTTTCCAGCAGACATCGCTCCGGCAGATTCAAGCCTTATCTTTCCCTTCCAGAGGAGAGTTGTTCATTTCACTTCCCAAAAAAAAAAAAGCACAAACCCAAAACCCTAAACCACAAACTGAAAAACAGGTGGGGCTGTTTCAAGATTGGCTGAAGTTTGTCTCAGAGCTGATGAGGGACAGTCAGTTGTTTCTGGGCAACAGAGCAGCAAACTGGCAGGGAGACGGGGTCCCCACTGCTCCCCAATAAAATGACCCCCCCAAGGCCTTGCTCCATATAGAGAGGTTTCTGGCCAGGTATAGTGGCTCACGCCTGTAATCCCTACATTTTGGGAGGCCGAGGCAGGCGGATCACGAGGTCAAGAGTTTGAGACCAGCCTGGCCGATGTGGTAAAACCCGGTCTCTAGTACAAACACAAAATCAGCCAGGTGTTGTGGCGTGCACCTGTAGTCCCAGCTACTCGGGAGGCTGAGGCAGGAGAATCACCTGAACCCGGGAGGCGGAGGCTGCAGTGAGCTGAGATCACGTCATCGTACTCCAGCCTTGGCAGCAGAATGAGACTCTGTCCCCCAAAAATAAAAATAAGGCTGGGCACAGTAGCTCATGCCTGTAATCCCAGCACTTTGGGAGGCCGAGGCGGGCAGATTGCCTGACCTCCGGAGTTCTCCACCAGCCTGGGCAACACGGTGAAACCCTGTCTTTCCTAAAATACAAAAAATTAGCCAGGCATGGTGGCATGTGCCTGTAATCCCATCTACTCAGGAGGCCGAGGCAGGAGAATTGCTTGAACCTGGGAGGTGGAGTTTGCAGTGAGCCGAAATCACACCATTGCAATCCAGCCTGGGTAACAGAGCAAGACTCCGTCTCAAAAAATAATAATAAAATAAAATTAAAATAAAGAAATAATAATTGACACAAGGATAGAGCAGTCCCCTGATGAAACGTGCAGCTTTTTGGCCAGGCATAGTGGCTCATGCCCATAATCCCAACACTTTGGGAGGCTGAGGCAGAAGGATTGCCTGAGGCCAGGAGTTCAAGATCAGCCTGGGCAACGTGGTGAGACCCCGTCTCTACGAAAAACAAGGCAAGTGTGATGGTGCCTGCCTATAGTCCCATCTACTTGGGAGCTGATGCAGGAGAATTGTTTGAACCTAGGAGGTAGAGGTTGCAGATTGCATTTCAGCCTGGGCAACAGAGTGAGTGAGACTCAGTCTCCAAAAAGCAAAAAAAAAACAGTGCCTGACACGGAGGGAAATGGGCTTCTATTAATTGTTAGACATTGTAAAATTTAATATAATCACAAAATACTCTGCAAATATAAAGGCCAATAGCTGAAGACACAGGGGTACCACGAGCCTGCTGTCCCACGCCCCTTCCTTCCCTCCCTTAGGTAATGTCTCCAGTTATAACCCTGTTTTTTTGTTGTTGTTTTTTTAAGACAGGTTTTCACTCTGTCACCCAGAGTGGAATGCAGTGGTGACAGTGATCATAGCTTAGTGCAGCTTCAACCTCCCGGCGCGCAATCAGTCCTCCCACCTCAGCCTCCCGAGTAGCTGCGAATACAAGTGTGTGCCACCATGCTCAGCTACATTTTTTTCTTTTTTTTTTTTTCTTTTTTTTTTTTTGAGACAGAGTTTTGCTCATCACCCAGGCTGGAAAGCAATGGCTCAATCTCGGCTCACTGCAACCTCTACCTCCTGGGTTCCAGCAATTCTCCTGCCTCAGCCTCTTGAATAGCTGAGATTACGGGTGCTCACCACCATGCCTAGCTAATTTTTGTATTTTTAGTAGAGATGGGGTTTCACCATGTTGGCCAGGCTGGTCTCAAACTCCTGACCTCAGGTGATCCGCCTCGGCTTCCCAAAGTACTGGGAGTACAGGCAAGAGCCACTGCGCCCAGTCTTTTTTTTTCTTGAGACAGGGTCTCGCACTGTCACCCAGGCTGTAGTACAGTGGCACAATCTCAGCCCACTGAAACCTCTGCCTCCGGGATTCTCATGCCTCAGTCTCCCAAGCAGCTGGGATTACAGGTGTTCGCCATGACACCCGGCTAATCTTTGTATTTTTAGTAGAGACGGGGTATCACTGTGTTGGTCAGGCTGGTCTCGAACTCCTGACCTCAAGCGATCTGCCCACCTCGGCCTCCCAAAGCCCTGCAGTTATAGGCGTGAGCCACTGCACCTGGCCTCAACCCTAATCTGACGGCAGACGCTTGGGACCTGCACCCGGGCCTCCAACCCAAGCTGGGCCTCGCTATCTGCAAACTGCCACCCCCTGCAGCGCCGAAGCACTTGTTCCATCGGCTGCAAGGGCTCTCTCATCTCCCTTCATCCCTCACCATGTGTTTTGTTTTGTGGAAGCTGCATGGTTCTCAAGTAATCGTGCTACTGGGAAACAGGGCTGAGAGTCTCGTTTGTTCAAAGGAAATCTTTTCCTTTCACACGTAAGTGCTGTGTTTGCGCCATAAATCGCCTTCTGCATTCGGTCCCTGCCAGCCTTTCTCCTTGTGCCCGACCCATCCGGGAAGAGTTCCAGGCCGGCACTCCCGGGGTGGCGGGTGGCCGAAAACACAGCCGGGCCTGAGCCCACCCCAGCAGCTCAGGGGTAGGCCAGGGAATAACAAGGGAAGGAGTTCACATTTATCGAGCACCTACTATGTGCTGGGCACTGCGCTGGGCATTCCCCTTCATTCCCTTAATCGATTGCATTTCCTCCCTCTATTATTATTTTTTTTTTTTAGACAGAGTCTCACTCTATGGGCCAGGCTGGAGTGCAGTGGCGCAATCTCGGCTCACTGCAACCTCTGCCTTCCAAGTTCAAGCAATTCTCCTCCCTCAGCCTCCCAAGTAGCTGGGGATTATGGGCGTGCGTCACCACACCTGGCTAATTTTTGTATTTTTAGTAGAGACAGGGTTTCACCATCTTGGCCAGGCTGGTCTTATACTTCTAACCTTGTGATCCGCCCGCCTTGGCCTCCCAAAGTGCTGGGATTACAGGCGTGAGCCATTGTGCCTGGCCACATTTTCTCCTTAAAGGGCCAGGCACGGTGCCTCATACTGTAATCCCAGCACTTTGGCAGGCTGAGGCCAGAGGATCGCTTGAGCCTAGGAGTTCCAGATCAGCCCGGGCAACATATTCGGTTGATACAAAAGTAATTGTGGTTCTTACCATTAAAAGTAATGGCAGCCTGGGTGCGGTGGCTCATGCCTGTAATCCCAGCACTTTGGGAGGCTGAGGCAGGTGGGGGGATCACCTGAGATCGAGTTCAAGACCAGCCTGACCAACACTGTGAAACCCCGTCTCTACTAAAAATACATAAATTAGCCGGGCATGGTGGCACATGCCTGTAATTCCAGCTACTCAGGAGGCTGAGGCAGGAGAATTGCTTGAACCCGGGAAGGAGAGTTTGCAGTAAGCCAGGATTGCGCCACTGCACTCCAGCCTGGGTGACAGAGCAAGACTCCATCTCAAAAAAAAAAAAAAAGTAATGGGAAGAACCACATTTACTTTTGCACCAATCTAATTGCAAGACCCCATCCCTACAAAAAAATTTAAATTACCCGGTGTGGTGGTGAGTGCCTGTAGTCCCAGCTACGAGGGAGGCTGAGGTAGGAGGATTGCTTACACCCAGGAGGTCAAGGCTGCAGTGAGCTACAATCGTGCCACTACACTCCAGCCTAGGCAACAGAGCAAGACTCTGTCTCTAAAAATAAACAAAATCTGCTGGGTGCAGTGGTTCACTCCTGTAATCCCAGCACATTAGGAGGCTGAGGCAGGCGGATTACCTGAGGTCAGAAGTTCAAGACCAGCCTGGCCAACATGGTGAAGCCCCATCTCTACTAAAATTAGCCGGGCATGAGGTGGAGTTTGCAGTGAGCTGAGATCGATCATGCCACTGCACTGCAGCCTGGGTGACAGAGCAAGACTCTGTCTTAAAAAAAAAAAATTTAAAGTCCGGGCGCGGTGGCTCACACCTGTAATCCCAGCACTTTGGGAGGCCAAGGCAGGTGGATCATGAGGTCAGGAGTTTGAGACCACACACTAGCTAACACTGTGAAACCCCGTCTCTATTAAAAAGACAAAAAAAATTAGCCAGGCACGGTGGCTCCTGCCTGTAGTCCCAGCTACGTGGGAGGATGAGGCAGGAGAATCACTTGAACCTGAGAGGTGGGGTTGCAGTGAGCCAAGATCATGCCACTGCACTTCAGCCTGGGCAATGGAGCAAGACTGTCTCAAAAGAAAAAAAAAAAAGATATACAAATGGTCAATAAGCAGATGCAAAGAAGCCCAACCTTATTAACCATCAGAGAAATGCAAATCAGAAGTATCATGAGATACCACCTCACACCTACTAACATGCCTGTAATCAAACAGACAGAAAATAGCAAGTGTTGGCAAGGATGTGGAGATATTGGAACCCTCAAATACTGCTGGTGGGAATGTAAAACGGTGCAGCTGCTGGAGAAAACAGGTTGGCATTTCCTGAAAACATTACCGCATGACTTAGCAGTGTTACTTCCAGTATATATCCAAGAGACTTGAAAACATGTCCACCTAATAATGTGGACGTGGGGGCCGGCTGTGGTGGCTCTGGTCTGTAACTCTACCGCTTTGGGAGGTCAAGACAGGAGGATCACTTGAGGCTAGGACCTCCAGATCAGCCTGGGCAACATAGTGAGACCCCATCTCCACAAAATATTTAAAATTAGATGGGCAAGGTGGCATGTGCCTGTAGTCCCAGCACATGGGAGGCTGAGGCAGGAGGATTGCTTGAGCCAGGATGTCGAGGCTGCAGTGTATCATGATTGTGCCACTGCACTCCAGCCTGGGTGACAGGGCGAGACCCTGTCTCAAAACAGAAATAAGTTTTGGAATGGATGGTGGTGATGATTGCACAATATGAATGTGCTTCACAAACTCTGAACTGTATATTTTTTAATGACTGGCTAGGTACAGTGGCTCAGGCCTGTAATTCCAGCACTTTGGGAGATCAAGGCAGGCAGATCACTTGAGGTCAGGAGTTCGAGACCAGCCTGACCAACATGTGAAACCCATCTCTACTAAAAATACAAAAATTAGTCAGGCATGGTGGCATTCACATATAATCCCATCTACTTGGGAGGCTAAGGCAGAATTGCTTGAACCTGGGAGGCAGAGATTGCAGTGAGCCGAGATCATGCCACTGCACTCCAGCCTGGGCAACAGAGCAAGACCTTGTCTCAAAAATAAAATAGAATAAAATAAAATAAAAATACAAAAATTAGGCATGGTGGCATATGCCTGTAATCCCAGCTACTTGGGAGGCTGAGGCAAAAGAATTGCTTGAATCCAGGAGGCAGAGGTTGCAGTGAGCCAAGATGGCACCACTGCACTCCAGCCCAGGCGACAGAGCAAAACTTTGCCTCAAAAAAAAAAAAAAAGGGCCAAGCGTGGTGGCTCATGCCTGTAATCCCAGCACTTTGGGAGGCCAAGGCAGGCAGATCACGAGGTCAGGAGATTGAGACCATTCTGGCCAACATGGTGAAACCCCGTCTCTACTAAACAATACAAAAAAATTAGCTGGGCATGGTGGCGCACGCCTGTAGTCCCAGCTACTCGGGAGGCTGAGGCTGGAGAATTGCTTGAACCCAGGAGGTGGAGATTGCAGTGAGCTGAGATTGCACCACTGCACTCCAGGCTGAGCAACAGTGCGAGACTCCACCTCCAAAAAAAAAAAAAAAAAAAGACTAAGATGGTTAAAAAAAAAAGTGGGTAGGAGCACGGAATATATACTCACATTTGTTTGGATGTTAAAAGAAAAACTACCCATGAGACCCCATCTCTATGAAAGAACAGAAAAATTAGCTGGGTATGGTGGTGCATGCCTATAGTCCCAGCTACGCGGGAGCCTGAGACAGGAGGATTCCCTGAGCCAAGGAGATCGAGGCTGCAGTGAGCTGTGGATGGTGCCACTGCACTCCAGCCTGGGAGACAGAGCAAGATCCGTCTCAAAAATAAATAAATAAATAAATAAATAAATCACTGGAAAGACACATAAGAAACTACTGTAGCAGTTACCTAGGAGGCAGGAGGCCTGGGTGAGGGGTGAGGATCAGCAGGAGGAAAGAAGCTTGCTGCATGTCCTTTAATACTTTCTCATTTTCTTGCTCTTTTCTTTTTTTTTTTTCTGAGACAGTTTTGCTGTCACCCAGGCTGGAGTGCAATGGCACCATCTCAGCTCACTGCAGCCTCTGCTCCTGGGTTCAAGCAATTCTCCCTGCTTCAGTCTCCCGAGTAGCTGGGATTACAGGTGTCCGCTACCACACCAGGCTAATTTTATATTTTTATTAGAGACGGAGCTTCCCCATGTTGGCCACGCTGGTCTCGAACTGCTGACCTCAGGTGATCCACTCACCTTGGCCTCCCAAAGTGCTGGGAGTACAGGCGTGAGCCACCACGCCCGGCCCAATACTTTTTCAATGTTGAATCCTGCCAGTGCTTTCCTAGTCCAAAACTGAAATCTACAACAAAATCAGCAGGAAGATTTAAAGAATGTAACTGTTTAAAATGAACGGTGGTGCCTGAGTGTGATCAAACCCCTGGGTCCAGCTATCAATTTGTAGGAAGCACAAACCATGCCAAACAGCATACTGAGGGACAGCCAGTGGAACCAGACTGTGGGAAGCCCTCCAGTTCCAGGCCCAAGCTCTGCCAAATACCAACTGCTTGACCAGGCGCACTGCCTCACACCTCTAATCCCAACACTTTGGGAGGCTGTGGCAGGTGAATCACCTGAGGTCACGGCGCAGTGCCTCACACCTCTAATCCCAGCACTTTGGGAGGCTGAGGCAGGTGAATCACCTGAGGTCACAGCGCAGTGGCTCACACCTCTAATCTCAGCACTTTGGGAGGCTGCGGCAGGTGAATTACCTGAGGTCACGGCGCACTGCCTCACACCTCTAATCCCAACACTTTGGGAGGCTACGGCAGGTGAATCACCTGAGGTCACGGCGCAGTGCCTCACACCTCTAATCCCAGCACTTTGGGAGGCTGAGGCAGGCAAATCACCACAGATCAAGAGTTTGAGACCAGCCTAGCAAACATGGTGAAACCCTATCTTTACTACAAATACAAAAATTAGGCTGGGCACAGTGGCTCATGCTTGTAATCCCAGCACTTTGGGAGGCTGAGGCAGGTGGATCGCTTGAGGTCAGGAGTTTGAGACCAGCCTGACCAACATAGTGAAACCCGTCTCTACTAAAAATACAAAAAATTAGCTGGCCATGGTGGTGGCCGCCTGTAATCCCAGCTACTCAGTAGTCTGAGGCAGGAGAATCGCTTGAATAAAGGAAGCAGAGGTTGCGGTAAGCCGAGATTGACCATTGCACTCCAGTCTGGGCAACAAGAGCAAGACTGTGTCTGAAAAAAAAAAAAAATTAGCCAGGTGTGGTGGCACCCACCTGTAATCCCAGCTACTCAGGAGGCTGAAGCAGGAGAATCAATTGGACCTGGGAGGTGGAGGTTGCAGTGAGCTGAGATCATGCCATTGCACTCCAGCCTGGGCGACAAGAGCAAAACTTCTCAAAAAATAATAATAATAAAGAACTTTCTTACAATCAAAATAAAAGATCATATCTTATCTACTGTTCTACAACTTGTCTTTGGGATCAATAGACTGGGAATAATTTTTTATTTTTTGTTGTTGTAGTAGATCTATGATAGATATGATTTTATTGATTTTGTTTTTGAGATGGTCATGCTCTTTCGCCCAGGCTGCAGTGCAGTGGCGCAGTCTCAGCTCACTGCAACCTCTGCCTCCCTGGTTCCAGCAATTCTCTTGCCTCAGCCTCCCGAGTAGCTGGGAGTACAGTTGTGCACAACCATACCCAACTAATTTTTATATTTTTAATCGAGATGGGATTCCACCATGTTGGCCAGGCTAGTCTGGAATTCCTGATGGATCACTCAAGTGATCCATCCACCTTGGCCTCCCAAAGCGGAATGATTGACTGATTGATTGAGACGGAGTCTCACTCTGTAGCCTAGGCTAGAGTGCAGTGGCTCAGTCATAGCTCACTGCAGCTTTGAACTCCTGGACTCAAATCCTCCCACCCCGCGCCACTGCACTCCAGCCTGGGTGACAGAACAAGACTGTGTCTCAAAAAAAAAAAATCTGGAAAAAGGGGGAGAGAGGGACGGAGGGGAACAAGGGTGGGAAAAATACCTACTGGGGACCATGTTCACTATTGGGGTGATGAGTTCACTGGAAGCCCAAACCCTAGATTATGCAGTACACCCATGTACAAAGCTGCACAGGTACCTCCTGAAATTTCTGTTGTTGTTGTTATGAGACAGAGTCTCACTCTGTCGCCCACTCTGGAGTGCAGTGGTGGGATCTCGGCTCACTGCAACCTCTGCCTCCCAGGTTCAAGTGATTCTCCTGCCTCAGCCTCCCAAATAGCTGGGATTATAGCCGCCCACCACCACACCCAACAAATTTTTCTATTTTTACTAGAGACAAGGTTTCACCACGTTGGCCAGGCTGGTCTTGAACTCCTGACCTCAGGTGATCTGCCCACCTCAGCCTCCCAAAGTACTGGGAGTATAGGCATGAGCTACTACACCTGGCTCTCCTGAATCCATTTTTTTTTTTTTTTTTTTGGGGTGGAGTTTCGCTCTTGTTACCCAGGCTGGAGTGCAATGGCGCGATCTCGGCTCACCGCAACCTCCGCCTCCTGGGTTCAGGCAATTCTCCTGCCTCAGCCTCCTGAGTAGCTGGGATTACAGGCACGTGCCACCATGCCCAGCTCATTTTTTGTAGTTTTAGTAGAGACGGGGTTTCACCGTGTTGACCAGGATGGTCTCGATCTCTTGACCTCGTGATCCACCCGCCTCGGCCTCCCAAAGTGCTGGGATTACAGGCTTGAGCCACCGCGCCCGGCTCCTGAATCCATTTTTAAAAAACAAATCTGGGAAAAGACACCAGAGAATTAAAAAAAGAAAAAAAAGGCCAGGCGCTGTGGCTCACACCCGTAATCCTAGCACTTTGGGAGGCTGAGGTGAGTGGATCACCTGAGGTCAGGAGTTCAAGACCAGCCTGGCCATCATGGTGAAACCCCATCTTAAAAAAAAAAAGAAAGAAAGAAAAAAAAAGAAGAGGTCACCAGAAACCCTTCCATCTGGAAGAAATGGTGTTAATTACCACACAGTGCCTTAAAGAAATGCAGATTTGGCCGGGCGCGGTGGCTCAAGCCTGTAATCCCAGCACTTTGGGAGGCCGAGGTGGGTGGATCACGAGGTCAAGAGATCGAGACCATCCTGGTCAACATGGTGAAACCCCGTCTCTACTAAAACTACAAAAAATCAGCTGGGCATGGTGGCGTGTGCCTGTAATCCCAGCTACTCAGGAGGCTGAGGCAGGAGAATTGCCTGAACCCAGGAGGCAGAGGTTGCGGTGAGCCGAGATCGCGCCATTGCACTCCAGCCTGGGTAACAAGAGCGAAACTCCGTCTCAAAAAAAAAAAAAAAAAAAAAAGAAATGCAGATTAAACCTCTTATAGTCCTGGAGGTCAGAAGTCCAGAGACTGGTCTCCCTGGGCTCAGGTCAAGTGCAGGCCAGCCGGGCTCCTCCTGGAGGTGCTGGAGGAAGATCCCCTTTCCTGGCCTTTGCCAGCTTCTAGAACCCGCCTGCACTCCTCGGCTGGCGGTCCGACGGTTCTTCTTCCAGCAACTGCCCATGTTTCTCCCCCACCAGCTCTCAGCTCTTCCTCTCCTCCCTCCGTTGAGCCACCAGGATAATCCCAGAGACTCCACATCCCAAGGTCAGCTGATCAGCAACTTCCATTCCTCTCTGTCATGGAACCCACAGTCATGGGATCTGGGGACCAGGGCATGGACATCTCTGGGGATCATTACTCTGCATCCACAGCCGGTCACAGCACCACCGTGCCACGACCCAGCCAAGGGCTATGCAGGAGGCAGGAGCCCGGAGCCTGGGACTCCAGGGAGTAACAAAGATTGCAGCTAAGACCCAGATCCTTAATCCCAGACGCAGCCAGCTGGAGGTCACCCCCATCTCTGTACACAAAAGCATACTCGGGGGCTTGTGGGGGATGACTGTTCAACAGAATTTATATCAATTTAAATTTACAAGCGCTGGCTCATGCCTGTCACCCCAGCATTTTGGGAGGCCAAGGCGGGTGGATCACCTGAGGTCAGGAGTTTGAGACCAGCCCGGCCATCATGGTAAAACCTTGTCTCGCTTAAAAATACAAAAAGTAGCTGGGCATGGTGGAGTGCGTCTGTAATCCCAGCTACTCGGGAGGCTGAGATAGGTGAATCACTTGAACCTGGGAGAGAGAGGTTGCGGTGAGCTGAGCTGAGATTTTGCCACTGTACTCCAGCCTGGGCAACAGAGCAAGACTACATATCACAAAAAAGAAAAAGGCTGGCATGGTAGTTCACTGTGATGCCCTTTCTAAAAATGGCCACAACATGACCTCCCACCCCAAGAGGTCTTCTGCAATGACAGCTCAACACGCATCCTAACATGTAGAGGGGTCTGTGCCCCATCCCTCGAATGTGGCAGCTTCTGGAACTGCCTTGGTCAACAGGGTGTGGAAGTGATGCTATGTGACGGCCAAAGCCAGGGCCTGTCCTGGTTTTCTGTACACATTTGCTCTTGGGACCCAGCTGCCATTCGGTGAGGAAGCTTAACTATCCTTGGTGGAGAGGCCACATGGAGAGGCCACTTAGACCACATGGAGAGACCATATGAAAAGGCCACGTGGATAGGTTACATAGAAGGGCCACAGAGAGCCCACATGGAGAGCCCACATGGAAAGGCCACATGGAGAGGACCCATGGAGAGGCCACATGAGGCCACATGGAGGTGTTCCAGCCACAGGCCCCCACTGAGGTTCAGGTCAACATCAGAATTGCCATCAGAAAAAAATTAATTAGTCCCTTTGTTTTGGTGTGTGAATGTGTGTGTGTGAATTTAGTGAGAGTGTGGTAGTGTGTGGGTGTGATTAGACATAGGAAAGTGTATGTGAGCAGTGGGGATTGTATGTGTGTCTGCATCTGTGTGGACATGTCTGAGTGACTGTGTATGAAGAATGTGTGTAAGAATGTGAGTTACGGCTGGACTCGGTGACTCACATCTGTAAAGACTTTAGTCCCCGGGCCGGGCGCGGTGGCTCACGCCTGTAATCCCAGCACTTTGGGAGGCCGAGGCGGGTGGATCACAAGGTCAAGAGATAGAGACCATCCTGGTCAACATGGTGAAACCCTGTCTCTACTAAAAATACAAAACATTAGCTGGGCATGGTGATGCATGCCTGTAGTCCCAGCTACTCAGGAGGCTGAGGCAGGAGAATTGCCTGAACCCAGGAGGCGGAGGTTGCGGTGAGCCGAGATCGCGCCATTGCACTCCAGCCTGGGTAACAAGAGCGAAACTCCGTCTCAAAAAAAAAAAAAAAAAATACTTTAGTCCCCAGCTGCTGAGTCACCGAGGCGGAGGCTCCAGACACTGTGTGACAGACAAGTCGTAGTGCTGCCCCCTGTGTAAATACCTGCCCCGGAGAAGCCATAAGCACTCACAGTGGCCGTTCTGCACCCTGAACTTGGAAGTGCCTTGTTATATACAAGACAGAATGTTTCTGGCTATTTCTCAGACTTGCACCTCCTCTCCCTGCTTGCCCATCGCTGTAATGACAGTCTCAAGTGCACCTCTGAAGGAAGGGCTGCTGGGCTTCCTTGCACCTGCACGCATTCCCATCCTCTCTCCCCTGCTGCGGCCGTTGGTGTCAGCAGCACAGAGGATCAGCTCCCACCCACTGCCCAAATCCCTAGCACTGGCTCCCCGGTTTTCCCCCAGCCAGACAGGAGATGTCATGGCGGCAGCGGGGCGGTGGGGGCGGGGCGTGGATACGTGTCAAGCTGCAGATGATGGTGATAGCTCAGACAACATTGGGCAGGACAGGAGGCTCCCAGCCCTGCATCGCCATTTGTTGGGGAAACACCTCAAGGACCAAGCCAGGAGGGAATGTCAAGTCCCCGGCTCCTGTGAGGGGCCCATCCTGGCCACTCTGTTCTGCAGCAGCCCTGCCCCATCCAGGCCCTGGTTCCTCCTCCAACCTCCTGCCACACTCAGGTCCGAGCCTCTCCCCAGAGTCCAGGACAGGTAAAGGAGGTCTCTACCCCAAACTGACACTGCAATTACACCAGCCTCAGGAGCGCACACACTGCAGACTCCCCCCTTTTTTTTTTTTTTTTTTGAGACAGTCTCGCTCTTGTTGCCCAGGCTGGAGTGCAGTGGTGCGATCTTGGCTCACTGTAACCTCCTCCTCCTGGGTTAAAGCAATTCTCGTGCCTCAGCCTCCCAAGTAGCTGGGATTACAGGCGCCCACGATCACACCTGGCTAGTTTTTGTAATTTTAGTAGAGAAACGGGATTTCACCATATTGGCCAGGCTGGTCTCAAACTCCTGACCTCATGATCCACCACCCGCCTCGGCCTCTCAAAGTGCTGGGATTACAGGCATGAGCCACTGCACCCAGCCTAATTTTGTATTTTTTGTAGAGACAGGGTTTCTCCATGTTGGTCAGGCTGGTCTCAAACTCCCAACCTGAGGTTATCTACCCACCTCGGCCTCCTAAAGTGCTGGGATTATAGGCATGAGCCACCATGCCCTGAGGTTCCACTTTTTTTTTTTTTTTTTGAAGTCTCGCTGTTGCCCAGGCTGCTGAAGGGCAGTGGCGCATATTGGCTCACTGCAGGCTCCACCTTCCAGGTTCAAGGGATTTTCCTGCCTTAGCCTCCTAAGCAGCTGGGACTACAAGTACCTGCAACCACACCTGGCTAATTTTTGTACTTTTTGTAGAGACAGCATTTCACCATGTTGGCCAGGCTGGTCTTGAACTCCTGACCTCAGGTGATCTGCTGTAATGACATCGGATCATTTAAGGTAGAAAAGGATATCAGGCTGGGATTATAGGCATGAGCCACTGCGCCTGGCCCTGATTCCACTTCTGTGGGGCACCCAGGAGTCAAACTCAAAGAGACAGGAAGTAGAATGGTGGATGCCTGAAGCAGAGGGAGGGGGATGGGAAGGGAACGTTGAATGGGGACAGAGTTTCAGTTGGGAAAGATGAGAAAGTTCTAGAGGCGGATGATGGTGATGGCCACACAACACTGAGATGTGATTAATGCCACCACTGAACAGTGTACTTCATTTTTTTTTTTTTGAGACAGCGTCTTGCTGTCACCCAGGCTGGAGTGCAGTGGTGCCATCACGGCTCACTGCAACGCTGACCTCCCATCCCAGGCTCAAGGATCCTTCTGCCTCAGCCTCCCAAGTAGCTGGGACCACAGACAAGCATGTATCACCATGCCTGGCTAATTTTTGTACTTTTTGTAGAGACAAGGTCTCAAACTCCTGGGCACAGTGATGTTTCTGCCTCAATTTCCCAAAGAGCTGGGATTACAGGCATAAGCCACCGCCCCCAACCTGAACTATGCACTTTACTTTCCTCGCCCCACCCCCGCAAAAAAAAAAAAACCCTCTGCTGGCAAACTATGCACTTTAAAACAGTTAAGATGGGCTGGGCGCGGTGGCTCACCCTGTAATCCCAGAGCTTTGGGAGGCCGAGGCAGGTGGACCACCTGTCAGGAGTTGGAGACCAGCCTGGCCAATATGGCGACACCCTGTCCCTACTAAAAATATTTTAAATATTAGCAGGGCATGGTGGTGGTTGCCTGTAATCCCAGCTACTCAGGAGGCTGAGGCAGGAGAACTGCTTGAATCCAGGAGGTAGAGGTTGCAGTGAGTCAAGATCACGCCACTGCACTCCAGCCTGGCAACAGAGAGAGACACCATCTCAAAAAATAATAAAATAAAATGAACAATGCTGAGGCCCTGAGGGAATGCCTAAGCTGACTCAGGCCTGCCTGCCTTCAGCCAGCCACCAGACCACAGGGAAATTCTTGCAATGCACAGCCCACACAACCACGCCAGTGCCCCTCTGCTGCTCCCTGTCAAGCCGATCCTGACCTGTGCAGCCTCCTCCCTCACCTTTGGCCTCTCCAGCCCAAGGCTGTCTCAGCCGTCACCTCCTGATGCCCCATGGGGAGGGTCTGCTACCCCGCTTTGGGTCTTGTGTCTCCATCCACACACCTGTTTCAGAAAACCCACCCCTCACCACCTGAAGTGAACAAAGCCCCCAGCCTCGGGTCCAAGGAAAGGGTTGTAGGTAATCGGTCAAAGTGTCTCTGCTGGAAGGACCACACAGCTGCCTTGCTTTCTAAATCAAGTCCATTTTATTTGAAATTTTCCACATGCCACACATGTACATGAAAATTCCCATCCAGAATGCAGTTTGCTACAGTGAACACCGAAGTCGGGAGCAGGCATCACATGAGATGCCACGTGGCAAGTCAGCGGGACAGGGACAGGGACGGGGGCGGGTTGGTCATCGAAAGGCAGGTGATGCACGTAGGGTCATTTAGCACCTGGTCATGAGATACGGCGAGACCCCCGGGGCCAGGGAAAGGCCTCGCCTTAAAAACATGGGGAGTTCTGCTATCTCTGGGCAGTCTCACGTGGACAGGCAATGGGCAGAAGGTGACGAAGGAGTGGGGGGAAGATACCACCAACGGCTGCAGGGGAGGGGCACGCACATGCTTGCCTGTGAACACCCCCACCCCGGCACATACCCACACCCTTGCACACTCCCCCACCCCCACCCCGGACACATCACCAACACAGCGGTCCAGGCTCCAGCTCACTCCCTGAAAGGCTTCTGTGACCAGGGTTCCCAAGGCAGGTCTGGGGGCCACAGCATGGAGAGAAGCCTCCCAGGACCAACCCTCATTCCTAGGTCCGCCGGTCTGGGGCGGGAGTAGCCAGGTGTCCTGACCTGGGGTCTGCCTATAAACCAACCCCTTCATCGTTTCTGTCTTTTGAGACAGGGTATTGCTCTGTGGCCCAGGCTGGAGTGCAGTGATGTGATCTTGGCTCCCTGCAACCTCCAACTCCTGGGCTCAAGCCATCCTCCTGCCTCAGCCTCCCGAGTAGCTGGGACCACAGGCACACGAACCATGCCCAGCTAATTTTTTTTTTTTTAATTTTATATAGAGATGGAGTCTTGCTATGTTGCACAAGCTGGTCTTGAACTCCTGGGCTCAATCGATCCTCCTGCCCCAGCCTCCCAAAGTGCTGGGATGGAAGGTGTGAGCCACCACGCCAGGCCCCTTCCTTGTTTCTCAAAGGAGCTTTAGAGAGTAGAGTGGCCCTGGTGACAGGCAGCCTGCGTCACTGCCACCACTGGTTTCTTCAGTGTCTGTGGGGTATGTGTTCATCATGCCCAGTAGATCTAGAAACTTATAACTCGAATCCCACACCCCCAAGTACTAATGAGACTCATGACCATCACAAAGAACCCCCAGCATCGTGGTGAAGGCTACTGAGAACCCCCGTCCACAGGAGGTGGCCGACATCTCTGTCTCTGGTTTAGTGGCCCCACGCTTCATCACCACACCTGGTCCATGAATTCCTCTTGTTTTCTTACAAGAGCTCTGTAATGAGCCAGGCGTCGTGGCTCACGCCTGTAATCCCAGCACTTTGGGAGGCTAAGGCGGGCGGATCACCTGAGGTCAGGAGTTCAAGACCAGCCTGACCAACATGGTGAAACCCTGTCTTTACAAAAATACAAAAATTAGCAGGGTATGATGGCGGGTGCCTGTAATCCCAGCTACTCAGGAGGCTGAGATGGGAGAATCGCCTGAACCTGGGAGATGGAGGTTGTAGTGAGTGAGCCGAGATTTTGCCATCGCACTCCAGCCTCAGTGACAGAGCAAGACTCCCTTCCAAAAAAGGGCTCTGTAATTTTCAGATCCTAAAAGGAGCAGACAACAGGGCATGGGGAGGCTGGAGGCTGCCCTGGCACTGCCTGCTGGGGAATGGAGGTGGCTCCCCCGCTACCGAGGCCTCCAGCACCGTCCATCCTGGCAGGAGCACTGCGGCACTGCCGAGGCTGAGGCACCATTCTAGAGCCTCGTCGGCCAGCAGGGGACCGGCCCTCGGCTGTCACAGCCCTACTGCTGTATGCCTGACCCCTCCGTGGGACCCCAGGCCCAAGCCTGAGCCCAGCCCCAGTTCCCTCGGCAAAAAGTCCAGCAGCTCTGGGTCCGGGCACAGGGAGTAGCTGAGGGAAGGCGCTGCCCAGGTGGCGGGCACCCCTCGCTTGTTTTTCAGCACCAGAGGAGCTCAGCCCCTCCCAGCTGCAGTCCTGGTCGAAGCAGTGAGTGTCCTCCTGTCCTGTGAACACACAGGTCCCGGGAGGGCCTCTTGGAGAAAGAGCCTCTCAGGCTTGTGTCTTCTGGGGACATCTGATGGCAGGGATAGAGCCCGGCCCCTCTGCTGCAGAAGGCGGCCCTCGCCCAGCTCCCCTGGGCTGGATGGGCCCTTGAAAATGAGAAAAGCCTCTCACAGCAGAGAGGAGAACCCGAGGCCCAGAAAGGCACCTTTCCTCTGGGTCCTCCGGCTGAAGTGCCTTCCCTGGGCCATCTTCGGAAGCCCTGTGGTGGCCTATGTGTCTTGGTGATGCAGAACAGGTGGCAGGGTGGAGGCTGCAGGCC